TGCCACACTACTTCAGATCAGTGACATAATAGTTCAAAATTTTGTCAAGCTTCATGAAACCTCAGTTTTGCAGTGACGTCATTTTTGCCACACTATTTCAGATCAGCTGGTATTGTAGTATGACGTAGTGCATTGTACTGATGGTATTGAAGGTACCATGCTACGATTAATCTTACCATGAACCACCAGTTGAGCTGTGTGGTTTGATCTTCCAGCTCTACTCTGACCAACACACGTGTAATTCCCTTCATATGATTGGGTATTCTTTACATCTGGAATCAAGAGGTTGCTTCCTTGGGTAGTGTGGGGACTGGGGAGACTCCCTCCACTGAAATACCACATGACACTTGGACTAGGAACGCCTGACATTTCACACTTAAAAAGTACAGTGCTTCCTTCCAGGACGATTTTGTTGACGGGAGTGACTTCAAACTCAGGAAAGACTGTAAAAAAGCAAAGATTTTGGTAGGTAGTCCACAAACTTGCGCTTCTCAAAAAGTTTTCAGAAGAGGATAGACTTTCTTTATCAAGGAAAAACCTTGACGTAATCTTGACTGCACAATGACGAACATTGATGGGATAAAAAAGATCTCTCGCGTGGCGATTGGTTCCACGGGGCTCGTCAATTGAAAATACACCTAGGCCGCAATGCCTGATAGGAAGGAAAAGGGGAACATATTTCGTGCATTCTGATTGGCTGTGCTTTACTTACACAGTACTTCGACTGTCCTCACAGATATCGAACCAATCCCACTCACTGCAGAACAAGAATAGTTTCCAGCCTCCTTGAGAGTGAGTCCCTCCTTTCTCAGATACAACCGACTTGTAACGTTATCCATAGGGTGTGAGATGTTCTGGTTCATTATCTGCACTGTGCTGGTGAAGTAGTCTGACGTCATATATGGTATTATTGAAATGATGGTGTTATTGATGGACCAGGAAACATAGGGTTGTGGGTAACCGTTGCCATAGCAATCGATGTAGATGTTTGGTTGGTTCTGCTTGAAGACTCGGGGAAGAGGAGGCTGTACGTGAACCATGGGTGGAACTGAAAAAATAAGAAAATGAATGAATGAATGAATGAATGAATGAATGAATG